TTTTTTTTTTTTTTTAAATTTTATTTTTGTTTAAAATATTACAGATGTCCCTTTTTCTCCCCAATGACCCGTTCTACCCTGTCCCATACCCCTCCCCAGTGCCTCTCCCCACCATTGTCCATGTCCTTGGGTTGTGCATATATGCATATAAATTCTTTAGTTACTCTCTCCCCCTCCCCCACCCGCCCTTCTCCATCCCTCTGACATTAAGACGCTTTATTTTTTAAGTGGTAGGAGTCGGAAATAGTCTTCTACCAATTGGAATTATTTTGACGCCCTTTGCAGTTGTTTTAACTTCCCATTGTAGGTTTTTGTTTTTTTTTAAAGTTCCAAATTGCTTGAGGTTTTCTTTCCATATTTGCACCGTGTTGGAACAAAATGGAATCAGAATTCCCCTCATTGTGACACATCTAGATAGATCAATATGCTAACAAAACTGCCCAGAAGCCCAGCCCCATGGCAGCTTTTTGCAGCCCCAACGTTGAGCACCTCTGTAGCATGGTGGTGGTTTGTTTGCATGTTCAACTTCGAACCACAAAGAAACAGTGTGGCCTTGGAAAACACCTATCAAGGGATCCAACTAGTGCTTTTGTTAGATGATAACGTGTTAACCACGGGAGAATGAGCTTGTGCTTGGTACATAAATTTACCTTATTCTGCTGGCTCATTAAGCAATAAAACTTGACAAGCTGTTGTACATGTTATATTGATTAGAAACTCACATGCTGGTAGGTAAAAGGTCAGTTGCAGGTTTGCAGCCATCTAAAGGAGAATGATTCCCTTACCTCATAAATGACCCAGCTGAGATTCTTTTAATAACCTTAGCAGTCTCTCCTGTCTCCTATACATATAGAGTAGATACTATATTTATCAGCTTTTCCTTTATTTCCTGATGACAGATAGTGACCCTCAGTGACAGAAAGAAATTGACTATCTGAGGTTAATGATGGGATCTGAGGTTTGTTATTGCCTTGATAACATTACATTACAGAGAGCTTGGAGTGGTTCTTGACTTTGGAAATGTGAAAAAAAGGACTAGAAAGAGAAAAACATGCTCTAAAGCGTAGTAGCTATTGCTTCACTCCAGTTTTAGAAGTAATTGAATTGACATTTTTAGTATTAAACTGGTCAAGGGATAGTTCTAAGTGTAAAATGCTAAATAGAGTTTAGGGTAAACCTGGATGATGGAGTTATTTATAATGCCTTAGAGATTCAAATTCAAATGCAAGATATTTATTCTCTGTGTCTCCATTTCCTTATCTGTGAACTTCAGGGAGTCCGTGTACCTTCTGGAATTTTATATATACAATTTCATGCATAACTGCTTTTTCCTGGGGAAAGTTATAATCCAGAATTTTAAACAATCTGAGGTGTCTGAGATCTGGATATTTCCAGAGCTATTATTAAAATTTGCAAAGTCCTTCTTAACCCTCAGTGGACCAGTGTAAAAATACTCAACACCATTTACGATCCACTGGACATTTTATTTTTTTACTTTTAAGGTATTTTACAAGTAATTTTAAAAGCAAGAATAAAAGGGTAGTGAAAACAACTTATTTGAAATTTTAATAATCTAAATATGGAAAATCCCAAAATTTTCCATTTTTCTGGTTTTGAAGATGTATGGACAAAGTACTTTGAGTGCAATTAAAAGCTCACTGGTTGTTATGCATGAATCTCAAATATTTCCATCTTATAAATACTGATTCCAGATTTCAAGTACATCGTGTAATAGATTCTAGTTATCATTATTCTTGTTCTTTTTGCACTTGCATTGTCAAGACACAGTACTTTTGAAAATTATGAAGGCACATATTTTGTTGAAGAGAAGACCACCATATTCTTTATCCATATTTGCAAAACTATTTTATCTTAGATTTATAAAAAATTAGAATTATTGGTCCAATGAATTTATTAATTTCTACATCTGTTTTCTTTCAATCAGCGTTGTGTACACACCTGGTATTGATTTGTCTGTTTACAAACCTCCTCATGTAAATTTTTGTGTATAAACAGCTTTAAAAAGGAAAGGACACCCTCTCTATGTATCCTTTTAGCAAAACAGTATGGTCTCATTTTCACAAAGTAGTTCAAGATCAAGTCCTTCCTGTTGAAAGGGCTAACTGGATGAGAATGCCATATATCTTTTTCATTTTTAGAAATATAATGTTCATTCATTGATTCTTGAGTTAGAGTGAATTCATCTAGGATATTCATCTAAGATATCATCTCTAATTTTGCTTATGCAGTCAATTTTAACATCACTATTAGCATCCAAAGTGCCGTTACCTGTTTCTCTATGTTCATCTTCTGATTCATCCAATAATTGTGAAAGTTTTCACTGTCAATTTTCTTCCTTTGTCATTATGGACAAAAATAAATAAAAGAAAAATTCTAAAATCTCAATTGTGTTCAATGAAAACTGAAAATAGGTTTTGAGAAAGGTGCCTCTAAACTTATATCTTTCTGAAAGATGATGTGATACTTTGGGCAAAGCAATAAGAAAACAAAGGGTGATGTAAAGCTACAATTTATTTCACAATTATGTCATCTTTCTAGGCAATTCTAACCATTCTTCCATTTTATAGTCTTTTTTAAAAACATAGGAGTAATTGATAAGTAATACTGAAATCTGTTATTATGGATGATGAAATAAAATGTTTCAAAATATAGGAAAAATCACTAAGATACTATGTATACACTCTTAATCCTTTTATACCTCTATTCCTATGCCTTTTATACCTTTTATATACCCTTATACCCTTTATAAATCTAAGATTTGTAAATTTACTCTTAACCTATTTACCTTTAGATTTAGAAAAGGGACCAACAATAGACCTACATAATAATTGCAAGATAGAATGAGTTTTAGTCTATAAAATGAGGTTTATTTTATATATATATATATATAAAATAAACCTCATTTTATATAACTATACAGTATTTTCTCTTTTTCTTTGGAAGACTCTAAGACTAAAAATCATGAATACTGACTTTACAAATCAACTTTCAAAAAATAAACTCAAAAATTAAAATTGGACTGTGATGAAATATACTAACAGTTAAAGTGTCCTGTAAAAATTAAAGAGAACAATCCAGGATCTGGCCAGAACAGAAAAATAGGATCATTATCTGCATCATGGTAGATGCCAGACTTTTATTAGCACATTCTTAAGACCCAGTAGATTTTTAGTGAAGCCTCATTACACTCTTGACTCCTATTAAATTCACTATTGAACTCTCCTTTTCACCTGTTCTAAAAAATTAAGACAGCCTATAAAGTATTTTGGGGACAGCTGACTTTTTAGCTTACATACAGGACTGTATTTCTACAAGGTTTCATTTTGTTAATTTTGCCCAGTTTTCTACCCTGTCATTATTAGATCAAGATTTATCTTCTAACATATTCACTATCCTTTCTAGTTTTCCAGAATCCCCAGATTCAGTCAGCATAAAATAAGTATTATCCAAGTCATTAATAAAAATTTTGAACAGTACAGAGTCCTGTGACACATGACTCCTACCACATTGACACCAACCAATTAATTAGCATCAGTAGATCTTATAGTTTAAGAAGTTATATGTAAAACTTTACTGACATGCAGACCATATTTTTCCTTTTTGCTCATAGGTATATAATGGGAAATTTTGACAAATATTACACTGAAGCCCAGATACATATAATCTCCCTGACGCATGATTATAAGATCCCCATCAAAAAGAAAGTCAGTGAATGACCTCATGGGCACTCATACTCAGGGCTGAAAGGAACTTTGGAGATAATCTGATTAATCTCGATTTTTTTTTTTTAAGTTAGGAGAACTTAAGTAATTTCCTAAAGTAGCATAGGTAGTAAATAGTAGAGTTGATTAGGTATTTGTTTTATTGAATGGTTTTTGAAAAGAGGTTATATTTGAAAGTAGTCTAGTACTCATTCTCCTACCTATGTTTTCTGTGCTCAGGATTTGGCTTTTAATTTATATCTCATAATGTGCCAGCAGAAAGTATCCAAGCATTTCAAGCAAAAATGTTAATTCAAAATTGATCATGATAGTCTAAATAATTTATTTAACAAAGTCAATATTGATTAACATATTTACATCTAGTGCTTACTATGTATTCAAGGCGCTGTATTTGGTGCATATAAGTATATAAAAAGAGTTTATAAAAATATTGTCTTGCAGTAATAAAAATAGGAAAAAAACCCTTAGAATTATATGAAATCAGTAAGTACAAAATGAGTGTAAATGAGGTTATCTCTTAAGCATTTTTATAGTACTAAACAAGTGATAGAATGCTTTCACAGGCATTCTCTCATTTAATTCTTGCAATAGTCAAATGAAATAGGCTCTCCTTTTCAAATTTTACAGAAAGGTTAACTAGGTCTGAAAGAGTTTTAAGTAATTTACTCAAACTCAAAGCAGCTAATTAGTGGTAGAAGCAGCAATTTGGCTCCAACTCTAATGCATTTTCCCATGTAACATTGTTGCCTCAGGATACAATGCCTTTTAAAAATTACATTCTAATACTTCATTTAATATTTTTATCCTTTGAGATCTTAGTCTTAATCTGAGCTATGAAGAATTGGTTATATACTGCAGCTAGTGGGATTCATGCCAAACTCCAGAATGATGAGAAAAAAGAAGCACTGTATTATGTGATTTGAAACCAATGATATTTAACTATTCAAATACACATGTATTCCTAGATTATCCTGCTAATAAATTGTTGAAGTAAATTCTTAGAAATAGTAGAACCAAGCTATAACACATGATTTTAATGAACATTTGGTATAAAGACTTCTGTTTTGGATGAAAATGATATACTCAAATTTTCCAGAAAATACAGACTTGGGGGGGGGGG